CTATGTTTGAAAACGAGAGTTCTACAGAAGTTGGTTGGGTTTGGTTACATCAATAGTGGAATCAACCACGTTGACGTCTTATCATGAGCTATTACCCTCTATCTCGTAGCCCAGCCCCTTTGACTAGTGGATATAGGTTCATGTTTTCTGAATTTTTGACAAAATCGCACAATTTTAACAAGGCATGGGGACTAGCACTTTAACTCGGAATCTTCTCTCCCTGAAAACAAATAAACCAGTTGGAAAACTTTTCGCTTAGACCTTTATCAACCTATCCAGCCGATGTCAGCAGAACAACCGAAATTATACAGCAGAGTAGGTGATTTTTGAAGCTCATTGAAATAGACCATGCCATTTCAGATTGAGCAGGTTTAACTGCTTCGGAGGGAATCTCGTACTTCTCGATGTTCGAGAAAGCTAGGAATTTCAAAGACACTGTTACGTCCTGCACCAGGGAAAGCAGCGGACTGGAGAGTTCGGAGAGATTTTTAAAGATCTAGTACAATCCACAAGCCCACGTGATCTGATCCAGATCTGTCGTTTTTTACAGTCTCTATAGCGCCTGTCCAATGCTATATAAGTTAATCGAGAAAGAAAACAGGTTATACTTTACAGTTGAAATATTATAAAAGGAGAAACATCACAAGAATAATTGGTTGAAGTAGAAGCCATTTTTCTCATGTAAAAGTGCTCATTCTACGATTCTTCATATCCTTTTTGTCCGTCCCAGCGTTTCCAATTCCAAGCCATTTGAGGAATTTGTTACTTTTTACCAAAGTATCCCTGCGCTCTTCTCTGCAGTAATCGGAAGACGTGGAACGTTGCGGTCCGTTTGAAGGCGATGGATCCTGCAACAGACAATTTCTAAGAGGTAATGCACTGCATGTATTCTACACTACAATATGTTCTCTGGAGATAAACCTGAAGCTCATTTGGAGAACTCTTCGACCCATACTTTAAAACCCTGACTTCAGGGCTTTTGAAGAAGAGTAATATAGTGATTTCAAGACTTTCCAGAAAAGTTCAATCTTTGGCCCTAATTATGATGCGCACAACATCCGACTTCCATTCAGAATCAAATGCGCCCGTGTTCAGACCGTGGTTAGCAGCCAATGAACAAGCCAGTTGGATAATCCTCCCAGACGAATTTTGTACCTCGAGTAGACCCCCGGGTAGTTGCAAAAAAGGAAAAGCTTTATTCCTGGAGATACAGTTTCCCTACAGTAATCAGTACTCCTTTCCTAAAGAACGACCACCTAGAATTCCCGTACAATGTTAGTCACCATTTTTTGCAACCATGTTAGACGCCATGAGGAATTTTTGTGGAATTTTTTTGGTAGCTAACAAACTCCTAAAATTGGCTCCAGCGAACTCTTTACAGGACTGATAGACGGCTTACGTTTTTCAGTAGCTGGCCATTTGATCGATTCAACTTTTCGAATGGTGGCTGAGAACTGATCTGTAGTTGTTGCATATTCGATGTATGTACGCTATGTCGATGCTGCTTTGCCGTTCTCAACGGTGGCTGTGCTGTGATTTCCAGGTACTGTGCAGCTGCATCCTCACTGTAATAACAAATTGACAAAGAATTGGTAAATAATTCTTTCAGTGCGGAAAGAACTAGTCAGAACAAAGAAATAAAACAGGATGAGGGATAGAACCACTGGCGCAGCCGATCNGTGCAGCTGCATCCTCACTGTAATGACAAATTGACAAAGAATTGGTAAATAATTTTTTCAGTGCGGAAAGAACTAGTCAGAACAAAGAAATAAAACAGGATGAGGGATAGAACCACTGGCGCAGCCGATCCCGTTTTGGGATGCGACGCACCTTGACTTCTACTCGTAATCGTAGTGCTCTTTGCATGCATATGTGGCCTTTACAATGACCTGCAGTGGTGAGACGATGGACAAGTGAAGGCTTTTGCTTTCAGTTTCTCCAAGGTAGTGTTCGCATTGGTCCCAGCCATCCCGGTCCTTCATTAATTATTATAATTATGTTGTAAAAATATTATTCTGATACCAGCGTGCTAATGCACCATTATGAAGATCCACTCATTTGTTTTTTGGG